CGGCGGGGACCGAGCGCGGTGGCTCCGCGGGGACCCGCGTGCTGGACACAGCGTTTGCGCGAACGCCGTCCCTTGGAGCCAAAGCCACGCGCTCGGCTAATTCGCGTCCGCCTCAGCGGTGCCTGAAGCTGGCGGGGACCTCGGGGGTCACCTGGTCCAACCCCCTGCTCCAGCAGGGCCACCTACGACCGGTGGCCCAGGGCCGCGTCCAGATGGCTTTTGAATATCGCCAAGGACGGAGACCTCTCCGGGCAGTGGAGGAGCCAGCCAGGCAGGGCTAAAGCCACCCACGGGGAAAAAGCCTTTCCCGAGGTCCAGAGGAGCCCGTTGCCTCTGGTCCCGTCACCGGTGTCCCCGGGAAGAGCCCCGCCCTCTCCTCCCGCCCTCCCGCCGGGTGTCAGTACGGGCGGGCACGACCCCCTGAGCCGCCTCCTCCCCAGGCTGAGCAGCAGCAGCCTGTCCTCGCAGGAGAGGTGCTCCAGCCCCGCCATCGTCTTTTGTGGCCCTTCTCTAGACTCCCTCCAGTTTGTCCGTGCCCCTCTTGTACTGGGATGCTCAGAACTGGGCACAGCACCGCGGGGGTGGCCTCACCACTGCTGAGCAGCGTCCCCTCTTTATCCAGACCCGCTCCTCCCGCTCTGTGTTGAACCCTGCGCGTCGTCCTCACAGTGGTGTGTCCGAGCCGAGCGCTCCTTTGAGGAGAGGTGGCAGCACCTCGTCTCCTCGCCTGGGCCCCCGGTGGCGTGACCGCCCCGTCCAGAGAACTGCAGGTGGGCAGGGAGCACTGCTCAGCTACACCGTGCCGTAGCACCACAAAAGAGGTCACGAGCTTGTCCTCCCGGGAGGCACCGTTCTTCCTTTGGTCTCGTGTGGACAGCCAACGGTAGTGGACCTGCTAAGACGCGGTTAGGGGCGTGTGGTGGGCCCGTGCCGAGCTGCCGCAGCACTGGAGGCAGAGTATCTTTCAGCAGATCTCCCCGCATGCGGATGGGCATCACACGGGGCTCCGCACTGGGCCCATCAGCCCCCTGGGAAGGCAGCGTCGGCCTCCCTCCGCTGAAAACAAATCCCAGCCCAGGCAGCAATTCAAGAAGCAGAAGAGCTTCGGTGGGAAATTGATCATTCTGCTGCTTCTTTGTTGCCAGCTGTGGCACAGGCAATTTCCATGTTATTAACTCAAATAAAAGTATAAGCACAGCCTTTTTATTAGTACTATTTATTGCGAATGCTGAAGTGCCATGTAGTTTTGAACTCAGAGATGAACTGATTAGATAGGTAAGTCATATAATTAATTGGAAGACCCTTCCGTGACAATTATATATATCAAAGCCATTCAAGTGAGAAAAATGCAACCTTGATGATGAAGTAAAGAGTTTAGTCATTGCTGAAACATACAAGAATATGTGTATTTAGATATTTTACACAAAGGAAATCTTGTTTACAGAAAAGAGACCTTGTTGATTATCTAACACAATCAAGTGCTTGTGAAATATAGTCTCTTACGGAAAGTGTTCAGTTTCTTCACGATTTAGAGACCTTCTTTCAGCTCGGAGTGCTCTCTTTCATATTCACGACTTGAAGCAGATAGTCCATCATCTAATAAAAAGAGAAAAATATTATTTATAATCCAGTCCCGAAAAAAGTAATTCACTAAGTTAATAAGCCTAATGCATATCTCCTCTGTGTATTCACGTAACAAACACATTCCTAATAATCTTGCCAAAACAGCCCTCATTTGTCTTGGTTAGCGCAATAACAAACTGCCAAAGTACGAGGAAACTCATTCTCCCAAATAATTCTGTCTGCCATCTCATTTATATAGTGTCTCATTAGTGTTAAAAAGCCAAGTCATAGAAACAATTTAAAGCTTATTTTCCAACTTACTTTTATACTTAGGCCAACTTGCAGGAGAGATTTCCCTTCTGATCTTCAACTACTTCAACTGTAATTTATTCACAGAATAAAGAGCAGGCAAGACCTTAATTTGCCTGGTATTAACTGAAAACAGAAGCAAGTAACCCAAGTGCACCACCCTAAGCCTAATTCTCAGAATTATGATGCTCATCTCTTCAGCTTTTTTGACTATTTGTGTGTTACAGCGCTT